TTGTTTAGTTTGTTTGGTGATGTATAGAGGGCGTCAGTCAGGAAATTACTTCACAAGTGCAAGTGACATAATAATACGAATTTTAAGGACGTCTATTCACTCCATGAACCAGAAAAAATGGTGAAATAAAGCACATAATTTATTTTGAATATTTGAAATACGAAGCTATATAAAATAAAATATCAGTTTAAAAAATATTTTTGTGGCTGTTCAATGTATTTGAAGTATAGTTGCAGCAATGACCTTTATTAGGTAATGTATGTACCTGAATGGGGTTCCTGTATTCAACACCATCATTTACATTAATCCACAAAAGGATTTATTTCGGTTTATGTGTTAGAATATTTGGCTGGCAGGATTTGTTAAAAGAAAATATGTTCTTTTCACATTTCAATGGGACTATGTCGTCATTGAATTGGCTGGGATTTAAATTAATCTCCCCTGCTCTGCTCATTTTAATCCATGACAATAAAAGTACCTTTGTTTTGTATGGAAATTCCAGATGTATCAACAGATACCCTTAAAGGTGCATTCCGTTTATTTCAACGCTTAGTCCTTGAAATAAATAAAATACCATTATGTGGAGGAATGTAATATTTTGAGAGTATTTCAAAACAATTGTTTGAAGTTATTTGAAATCAAAAAGTTTGTATAAAAATAAATATGTAGATATCAAAAATGCTTTAAAAAATCTCAAAGTTCATTAAAAACATATTTAGAATACGAACTTGGAATTAATTAAATAAAATATTTGGCAATTTTTAGATTTTTAAAATAAAACAATTTAAAAAGTATTTCCGGAAATCCAAGATCGAAAAGAGTAATTTGAAAAATGCCCACCTTAATAATAATTAAAAAACCTAATTCATAAATTAAATTTTTTTTAAATCACACTTCCAAATTTTAATTTTTTTCAAATCTTAGGTTTACAAAAGTTTCATGATTCAAAAAATTATATGACATAAAACAATTTAAAAAGTATTTCCGGAAATCCAAGATTGAAAAGAGTAATTTGAAAAATGCCCACCTTAATAATAATTAAAAAACCTAATTCATAAATTTAATTTTTTTTAAATCACACTTCCAAATTTTAATTTTTTCAAATCTTAGGTTTACAAAAGTTTCATGATTCAAAAATTATATGACAAAATGATCTCCTTAATAAATATTAAAAAAAAAAAAATTAAAAAAAAACTACTAATCAAAAAAATTTACAAATCAAAATATTTTTATTTTAAATTCAATATTGAAAAAAAAATCTAAAAATCCAAGATCCAAAAACATATATGACAACATGCTTTCCTTAATAAATATTTTTCAAAAAACTAAAAAAATTATAAAAAAAAATATTTTTCAAAAATTTTCACATGTCAAAAATTTAATTTTTTCAAAATTCAATTTTGAGAAAATGTCTAAAAGTCCAAGATTCAAAAAATTTTGACAAAATAAATATTAAATATTAAAATTTTTTTTACAACAATATATTTGAAAAAAAAAAACAAGATTTCAATAAATTCGTTATTTAGAATAAACGATTACAAAATGCTTGTTTCAATAGATATTTAAAAAAAAAATATATATATATTTTTTTTTAAATCAACGAATATTTTCAGAATTCCACTTTTAAGAAAATGTTTTAAAAATTAATGTCCCAAAATTAAAGCCTTATGGTTATTTACCTCGCTTCTGTTGTATGTTTGATCACTTTAAAAGCTTCGTCCACGAAATAAGATATTGAATATCGTACAATTCCCCCCATCCACATTTCACTTCCCCTTTCCCTTTTTATGTATTCCTTGCTGTCATTGTTTAATACAATTTGATTGGCCGATCAAATAAAACCTGTTCTAAATTTAATTAAACCACTTCATTTCATTGTCTCTATCGCTCTCCATCACTGTGAAGGATATGTCAAACCCATGACAATGTATCACATTACACTTGAGCATTGTGCGAGGGGAAAAATTGATAACCAACCTACCTTCTTCTTCCATATGAAATAAAATGTGGGTATTGTAACTTCCAGGAAATTAGTAATCGTTAATGTGGTTAAATTGGCAAGAAGTTTCGAATAACTACAGGAACTTCGACAAAAAGAAACCAATTCATTTGGAAAAAATTAAAGTTCAATACAAAAAAGTAGTGCAGTAAAAAATATCTTTCATAAAATGAACCAAATTACGCTGGTGCCTAAATGTCTTCTTCGGTTATTCCATTCCCTTTTTATTGTGTCATTCGATATTTGTATTTTTCGTTTTTTAAAGACAATGAAGACATCATGAAACCAACCACTTGAAACACTTGCCACTTGAACTACAAGGAACCACGGCTTCGTGCCAGAGTATTCATATCCATCAATGGCTTGTCGTTTTTGACATGTCTTTTCTATACAAACTTATAATGTGACATTTTGGGGTATACCTCTTGAAATTCAAATACGTTAATGTTTTTAATATTTTTTTTTTTTTTTTTTTTATAAAAATGAAAACTTTAATGTGTCTCATTGGTCCATTCTATTTCTACGCCCTCCTTCGGTTTTTCTTATTTCATTATTTTCTATTGAAAAACTCCCTACTCAATTGGTGTCTGTATGGCTTCAATTAATCCCCTGGGCATTTCATATTTTTGATTATAGACTTTAAATTTTCTTATTGGAGCCGGATACAGTGGTCCGGTTCTGGTTTCAATTTGTTCACAGGCCATTTTTTCATTAAGAAATCTAAAAAGAAATAAAAGTTATTCGATTTTTTTAATGTTGAGGTTATGTCCATGTTGCTTGACTTACTTTACATCATCTCGTGTCAGGGCCACACGTATGGTATAAAGTATTTCACATGTAAAACCCACCAATGTTATAATTCCAATGGGTATGACCTGGAAAATAGAAACGAAATATAAAACTTGGGCACATAAAATAGGAAATGGAAAATTTTGTTGGTGAATATTTATTAATTATACTGGGAATTTAATAAGGCAAATAAAAAATTGGTTAGTTGAACTGCTTGATTTTTTTTATTTTTGAGTAATTTTTCTTTAATTTTGCTGTAAAATATTTCATTTCTAATTTTCACTTTATTTTTGGGAATTAAATTGGTCTTAAAATGACAAATTTCTCTCCAAAATAAACAAATTACTCAACATTCCATCGTTTACGTTAGCTAGACGTTTACGTAACGTTAGAACTAATTACAATAACCCTACTTATCATTCACAAAAATAATTCTTTAGTCTCAATTTAGATTAGGCGAGTTTACTTGCGGCAAGTCTTTGTTTGTTGGTCTTGATTTAGATTAGGCGAGTTTACTTGCGGCAATTCTTATCGTTCTCTTTTGAACTTGCTTCATGCGTCTATACAAGGCAATTCGGTTTCAAAAAAAAATTTATTTGTTTCAAATAGTTTTTTTCACATTTAAATAAATATAAAATGTCAAAAAATACGAAATACACAAAACGAATTGCCAGAAAATTGTCGGTACGAGCAATTTTTTCCATTTCTATTCCCCTTGCCCCTCTCTCCTACAAACAAAGACTTGCCGCAAGTAAACTCGCCTAATCTAAATCAAGACTTGGAGAGAGGGGCAAGGGGTATAGAAATGAAAAAAAATTGCTCGTACCGACAATTTTCTGGCAATTCGTTTTGTGTATTTCGTATTTGTTGACATTTTTTATATATTTAAATGTGAAAAAACAACAAATAAAAAAATATTTTGGAAACCGAATTGCCTTGTATAGACGCATGGAGCAAGTTCAAAAGAGAACGATAAAAATTGCCGGAAGTAAACTCGCCTAATATAAATCAGGACTTATTTTCCCCTATCATTTCTCCATTTTGGTTACAAATTATCTCTATTTCTCTCAATTTAACTTCCAGCTCCTTAATTTTTCACTTTCTTTTTATTAAATTATCCCTTTGAACGGTGTTTCCATCCAATATCAATGAATTTCATTTTTACGTTAGTCACACGTTTACGTTACGTCTACACTAATCATTAGACCACTACTGTCACTCACACAGTACAGCTACTACAGTTATGTGCAACTCTGACATCTGTCACAAAAACCACTGACTGAGAGAATTACGCTTGCGCTCTTTGCTAGTCGCCATCAAAACAATCATTCGTTACTTTACTCTCGAAGGGATACGACGCAGGATTAGATCGTAGCAACAAGACAAAAGGAACGAATAAAAAAAATAAAACAAAAATAAAGAAATTGCATTAATTTTGCAAAAAATAATTTAAAGGAACACAAAATAAATAATAAAAACATTTTATACAAAAACAAATAAACCGTTAATAACAAAACCAAAGAGAACAAGAAAAAGCAAAATAAGGCAAAACCGTTGCATTACTTGATATAAAGAGTGTTAGTGAGTGTGTGTGTGCATACAAGTGATTTTCCTTTCGTTTGGTTTGTTTGTTTTTTTTTGCTTGTAACTTAGCAACCGGGCAAAATACGCCAATATCAAAAGCGCGTAGTTTTTGTTTATTTGAAGTTACTAACAAAACCAAGGAAATACGGACAGGACATTTGATTATTATTCAACATTTGGCATTGTGAAAAAATCAGAAAGAAAAGAAATTAGAGAAAAATTCCATTCAGTTACACATAACCTAGAAAACATTTTGTTTGTGATTTCTCCAATCATCATCACACTGTAAAAAGAGCGAAAACGCAAAAATCCATCACCATTCATTTACAACAGGAAATGCATGCTCTTAAAGAGGGAGCTACCATGTTACAACATCATCCAACATCCTTACCACCACCTATGGTACCACGTATTAAAGATGAACCAACACAAAATTTCTTTTATCCTCACAGCAATCCCATTGATAATGCTGCCGCAGCTGCTGCTGGCCTGGGCCTCATAGATCCACATCACAACCGTGAATTGCACAATGCCTTGGTGGCATCGATAAATGGTAATGTGGCTGCTGCCGTCAATGGTTCGCTAACAACATCGGCTGTATTAAAAAGTGCCTCGGTTGCTGCCGCCGCCGCCCAACAACAGCATCAGCAGCAGCAACAACAACAGCAAGCTAATACTAATACAGTATCTCAACAGCAGCAACAACAAAATCAACAGAACACCAACAACACAAATCAACAGCAACAACAACAGTCTCAGCAGCAGCAACAACAGCAAGGTTCACAGACCCAGCAACAACAGCAAGCTGGCAATAATCAATCCGGCAATATGGTCATCAATGGTGGTGCTTCCAATGATAAATATACATCATCGGGACGTTCCACACCCAGCAACAGTATCAATGGTTCAGCTGGTACAGATCCTGCCCCAGGCAAACTATTTGTTGGTGGCCTTAGCTGGCAAACATCAGCCGAAAAGCTCAAGGAATATTTTAATATGTTTGGCACTGTTACCGATGTTCTAATCATGAAGGATCCTGTTACCCAGGTAAGTGCAGCATTTGCTCCTCCTAAATATTATCATTATTGTTATACTTCCTTCTTTCCTTAATATTGCTTTACACATTTCTATAAATTACTGATTGCTGTCATTATTTTCTATAGCAAACAAACAAGCAAACAGCAATGCTTTATTTACTTTGATATCTTGTTTTTTTTCAATATTTTTCTTTTCGAGTCGCGTTTGTTATCAGGAAAACAACAAAACAAAATTTTAAACCGAATTTCAGTTTTCTTCATGATTTTCTTCTCTGTTGTTTGATTTTTTCACCTAGTCTCTTTGATGACAAGCAACAATCGTGTGTGTTTGACATGGTCTCGACAATGATACGTCATTCTTTTGCAGGCGGCATAACTAACAGCTATCTCTCTACGTTGTTATTTGTTGTTGTTCTTATTACTTTCATTCGTTTATTTATCAATTTATTATTTGTGTATGGTGGTCGCTTTATTTTTATTTTGTTATTGTTGTTGATTTTTCATTTATTTTCATTGAATTTTGTCGTCTGTTGTCCGTCTTTCCATTTGATTTTTTTAATTTTTTATTTTCTAATCATTATTTTTACCTTTACTCCATGATGATGAAGCCGCCCGACCACCTTTTAGAAGGAGATATACATCAGCTGCTCTTTTTCGGTTTATTGGAGTCTCTTCTCTGTTTGGTGTTGTTGTTGTTGTCATTGACAATATGTCACTGTTTGCCTTTGTCTTTGGGCCACTAATCACATACTCTCTCTGTTAGTCGTGTGTTTTCCCCTCTACCTGTGTACTTTCATGTGGTGCACTTAATCTCTCTGAGATCATTAATCTCTTGTTGAGGTAGAAATCATGACAATGACATTGTAGGTGACAGTTCTTAAGAAGAAGTTGTTTAATTTGGCTAAATGAAAAGAATTTCACCGAAAATTAAGTGTTTTATGGAGAAAAATGCAAAAATGAAGGACAAATATCGAAATTGGAAATAGAAACGATCAAATTTGAGTTGGGAAAAATTAATATTTGAAGAAGTTATTGGTAAAGTTAATTAATGTTTAATGAATTTGGCGCAATTGGCTGCTGTGACTTTGTAGTGACATTTATGCCAAAAATCTCTTTCTCTGAGAACATTACTGTCATATTGTGACAAAGCCTTGACAATGACTTGTAAATGACATTGACGGCATAGAAACAGCTGTTGGAAGTTGACCAAATGTGAAGGATTATTGAAAAAATTAAGTAATTTATTTTAAAAATCGGAACAAATATAAAAATAATATACAGAAGTGAACAAACTAGCAGTATAATAAAGACGAATTTCCAGACAATTATTCTCAAATGCATGCATTTCGTCAATGAGGTGAAGCATTGATAATTGCGGTCAGTATGGGACATTTGCATAAAAAAGTCTTCAAATAGAGAACGAATAAATTAATTATATTCAAGGATTATAGAATAAAATAGAATGTTGGCACATGACTTATAGATGGAAGGAAGTTATTATAATCGTAGGTATTTATTTTTTTAGTTTGAAATTTAATAACACATATTGATAAATTCCAGATATGAGCCGCGGAAGGGTTTTTCTTCCGATTGCTAATTTGAGTATTTATCACAGAAGGAATAAAAAAGAATTTAAAGAAATTTATCCGCAAATGTATGCATGTCGTCAATGAGGTGAAGCCTTGATAATTGCAGCCAGTATGGGACATTTGCATAAAAAATGCCCTCAAATAGAGAACGAATAAATTAATAATATTCAAGGATCATAGAATACACTAGAATGTTGGCACCTGACTTTTAGTTGATTATTACACAAGGAATTTATATTAAAACTTATGATTATAATCATAGGTAAATATTTTTTTAGATTGGAATTTAATAACACATATTCTTAAATTGCAGATATGAACCGCAGAAGGTTTTTCAGTTTGCTAATTTGAGTATTTATAACAGAAGGAAATATTTTAGAAACTAGCCCACAATATCCATATTTAGTATTGACATTACGAACAAAATCTCCCAAGCAAGCACTGTAACAAAAAAAAAAAATATTTTCTTGGCAGAGGTAAAACTTCTATAGTTAAATGTCAACAGATGAAAAAAAATATAAAAAAATCCATTTCCGTTTCAACAGAGGTACTAAACATCATCGTCACCGTCTGTTGCCACGTGTGTAAGGGTCAGTACCGTTTATGTTATTGTTGTTTTTGTTTAGTATTTAATTTAGTAATAAATTTCTACCAAATTTCAGACACAAGACGAAACACATGCTTCCAAAATTTCCAAAATATGTTTTAATAACAGGTGCTATTCTCAAAGAGCATGGGGCACTAAAATGTGTTTTTTAATATTGTTACTTAAACGCATCATTTAGCACGAGCTACACAAGGTAACCAATAAAAAAACCAAGCATGTTTCCCTTTTACCAAACCAACTTGCTGACTTTACAACAAGACAAAATTTATAAAAAAAAGTCAATAACGTTACCTGGTAATATTAAAACAGGATCGTGTTATTCATACACACACACAAACAGCCAAACTCACACGAACAACTGTTTAATAAGCGAAACGGCAGATGTTTGTTAAATATGAAAACAAAAAAGGACCAACCAAGCAATCTAGCACACTAAAACGGTGTGTATCCTGCTGCTGCTGTCAGACAGCCATCCATGCATCCAGTCAGCTAGCTCTTGTATGTGTAGCATAAAAGATCGCAAACTCAATTCAGGTTTTCATTTGAACTAAAATGAATTATGGTCGCGCACAGCTGTTCATATTTTTGCGTTTTGTTTTGCGTTTATACACAGGATTCTGTTATATTGTTGGCAATTTAACAAAAGGTAGTAAGGAGAATTGTATTGTGAATAGAGGTGGAACTGAGAGAGAATGAATTTATGTGATGCTTCCTCCTTATCATCCATTGTTTGGCAAACCAAACAAGGGTAGATGGTGACACCATTTATGAGAGCAGCCTTAAAACTCAATTCGATATAGGACACTTTTGACAAATGATCTAACGGATTGCTGTTTTTGTGTTCTCAAGGATTTTTTTTTTTTGCATTATTTGTTCTATGATTTTTATTTGCTTTGCTAATGCTTTTGTTTTTCTTTTCTATCCAACCAACCACCATGATGATAACGGGGAAAACAAGAATTTCGATTTTTTTTTTTGTTTTTCTATTTTCGAACTCTTAAGAAAATAACATCTTTGCCTAGAACGAAGAAATGTGATGAGGGTATCAAATGCAAATAATAAAATCTTAAAGGAAACAAAAATATGAAACCTTTTTTTGAAAACAAACAAAACAAAAGAATAGCGCAACTAGTCTGTAAGTTTCCCATGAGAAATTCAAACAAAGAAATTACAAAAACAACTATTTATTTAACTGTATTTTATTAGAGTATTTTGTATGTATATTCTTACTACCTCTAATTAAGCATAGCATACATTTCTTGTATATCCTGCTAAAATTTTATTCATAAAACAATAATAGAGAGAAAAAAAATAATTCAACTTTACTTCAATCGTCATCATGATCCATTACAACAACTCCTGGCAATTTACAAAATTGGTATATATCAACAAAGGCCAATACAAAAGGGGAAACCACTATGGTGGTGTGGCCTACAGGACACCAATTGTAAAGGACAAACCGCCAGGAATACAAATACAAAACTATAACAAAATGCACATAAAACTATTTATTGTGGACTTTCGGCGTACCTGGTGGCTGGCGGCTGCTGTTGCTGGCAAATATGTATGGCTGTATAATGGATGAATGTATAGAGCAGAGTAGTAACACATGGCAATCTGATAAACTAAATGGCGGCAAATAATGACAGCTGCTGCTCCTCCTCCTGTGCATGCAAACTGGTTACGAATGCTTGCCGATCGTTTGCTTTGTTTATGCAGTTCTATTGTTAATTATTTGTACAATGCACAACCATTAAACGAGAGGAGAAAGAACAAAACAAACAGAACATGCAACAGGATAACTGCCAAAGCCCTTTTTATGCACAAGGAACTTGGAGGAGCATAGTTTTATGCAAGCTGCAATTGATGTGTTTCCTTAAGAAATAAATGGATTTCCTGTTGTCCTTTATTGCGGTTCGTTGCCGCTCATCATACAGAAAAAAAATCCCCAAACAGCGCACATGCTACCAAGAACCATCAAAAATTCGTATGTTTTATTTTTCCTTCTTCAGTTATTTAAACAAAATATCACTTGCGTTACCATAGGTACTACTACCAATCCCATTATCTATCTTCATTATTATAAACATCATTACATTTTATTTGTTTTGTTGTTGTTTTTTCTTTGTATTTTTTCTTTCTCATTCGTACAATTTGTCGTATCGTATTGTATATCATCATCTTAAGTAATTATATATTTACAATATAGGTATATAGTATTTTCGTCGAATAATACAAACAAATTACAATAACATTTTCTCTTCTTTGTAAAGCATCAAAAAAACACAATATTTATAACATTAGCGTAATATTTTGAAATCCAAAAAGTCTATATAGTATTTCTTGCATTTATTATTATGTGAATCCATACTACGAACCTTGTACTCAGAAATTTTGCAAAATAGTTTTTTTCTTTAGAATAATGTAAAAACCTACTTTTAGGTGGGCTTCATTGTAATGATTTCTTCCCATGTATCTTGTTTACTTGAAAAAGTTAACAACCAGTGTCTTATAAGAGCTGCTACATATCTTATGGTGATTCGATATTTTAAATTGATATTGATAACAGTATATCTGAATATAAATATCATATTTCACATATGACGACGCTCCTTGTGATAATTGTATTGTTGGTAGTAGTGTTGATTGTAGTTTTAAATACTAATTTCGCTTTGTGGCAGCTCTAACGAATTTCTATACATTTTTATATATTTGTCTTCTTTTTGTTTTCGACCCTATAAAATCTTTTCCAAAATCTTACTTAACGAATTTCAATTTTTAGAACATGTCAGGTTTCGAAACAAATCAGCTTTCTGGTATTGTAACTCTATTATTTTAGATAGTATTTAGATATATGTGATGCTCCAAAAAGAGAGAAAAAACTAATGCAAAAATCATATCGTTTAGAGATTAATATTATTCAAATATTTTTCATATATATAAATATGTACAAAAAACGTATATGTAAGACTAACATTCTATGTTTGTAAAAAAAAAAACTTATTATTGTTAAAACAAAAGATTTATGTTCTTAGGGACATTACCCAAAAATAACCTAATATTTATATTTATTGTAAACTCTTCTCCCATTATATATTGTCATATGTATTCCCCCTATTGCGATCAAAGCAAACGAATGAACAAATATTTCTTTTGTAGTTCAAACTCCACTCCCCTATCTAACAGACAAATATCCTAAATAGTATCCTTAAAAAATATATATTTTATCATAATTTTTTTTTCTTAGTAGTTTATCTTTATTTCTATAGATTTAGATATGATCAATTTTTTATAATTCTTAACTATACAAAAATAGCTATTATAAATTTGAAAACAATTTTTAGAATAATTATAGCAGTTAGGTACAAACATTTGACAAATAGTGATCATTACTATTGCAAAACTGAATTCTGATCAGAATTCATCATCAGAGAGAGGATTGTATTTTGTTCTTCGTCCTCATATCAATTGTAATAGTTCATTGGCCTTCAGTACCCCATTTTTCCAATACACCACACTTTTGGTAATCGGAGGTATCACCTTAACTGAGGTTTGCATCGACAAATAATGAATTGTTTACTCAATTCTTCCTCAATAATTCCTATACTACCCTAATAGACTTTAATTTAGGATATCAAGTCGTAACGAAAGGTACCTAGCCGAATTAAATGTCTGGTGAGTTACCCTTGTGTAGAATCCCAAAGAAACCTTTCCAATATCTAGATTTTATGCATCATCGTTATAGTTGAGGAACAAAAGTCGATCATGAAATAGATTCCGTATCAGGAATTGGCAAAAAATCAGTTTTCAATATCGTGACTGTTAAACCGAATTGGATGAAATTTGGCACAGGTCATTTATTTGGTCCAAGGGCAAACCCTATTGAAATTGGGAAAAATCGGTTCAGATTTAGATATAGCTCCCATATATAGTTTCGTCCGATTTTAAGTTACTGAAGTTACTATAGGATAGAGTGTGTCAAGTTTCGTTGAAATCGCTTCAGATGTAGATATAGCTCCCATATAAAGTTTCGTTAGATTTTCAGTAAATGGTGCACCAAAGACACAAAAATTAGACGATTGGGACAAAATTTTGCAAAACCTTCTGAAGTTGCTATAGGATAACGTGTGTCAGGTTTCGTTGAAATCGGTTCAGATTTCCATATATCTCCCATATATATATTTTTGTCCGATATTAAGTAAATGATGCCCCAAAGACCCAAAGTTAGGCCGATTGGCACATAATTTTGCACAACGTACAGAAGTTACTATAGAATAAGGTGTGTCTAGTTACATTGTAGTCGGTTCAGATTTAGATATTTCGTCCGATTTTCATCAAACTCGTCATGTTTGTCAGATTGACACGAATTTTTCCACAACGTGCCAAAATTGAGCATAGACTGCAGACTAAGGGGTGTCTGATTGAGACTTGCTTCGAATCGATTTACATAATTTGTCCCATTTGCAACCAACGACTCTATATGTGTACAAATGAAATGTAGTATAGGTTGCAGAATGCCATGTTTATGGATTGATCCAACTCCGCTCACATTTAGATAAAAATCAAATATTTTAGTTCATCCAATTTCATGTTAATGGTCCTTCAAATATACCACGTCTGTTAGGATGCATCTGTTTAATATACCCAAACTGGTGAAGGGTTCCGTCCGACTTTACTACTTTCCTTACTGGTTTTTGTTATGTGGAAATATAGAGGTTAGAGAGAAATTGAGGTCTTGAAATTGACCTACATTAGGCACTTAGGCATTGTGATATTTTTTCCTATACGGAAAACAACCTTAGTTGAGAAATTAGTACCCAAGATCTATTTCGATACAACCTTTTTTTTGTTTTTCAAAAAATACATCGGTTGGGAACTGTGGTCTTCCTTCTTCTTTATATTAGAAGGGTTCTGTATACAAATCTACCCAATTTCATGGGCTTTCATAAATAAATGCCTTCCAAAGGTCTGCTAAATAGGAAGTTTCCTAGATGTAGAGTCTTTGTATAGAAACTATTGTAGGTAAATCTGGTATAGACTATCCCTATTGGTTCCGCCCCAATTGAACTTGCCTTAAAGTGCATTTTATTGCAAAGAAAGAATTAGAAATTTAACATAAAAAACAAAAAAAATATTGGTAAAATAACAATCGAAAAATATTGTGTATGCTGAATATATGTGATTTTTCTTGAATACTAATTAAAGTAATACTTATAGACCCCTTTACACAATTATAAAACTCCTAAAAGTATACTTTATTTTTAGAACTAATTAAAATATTTATTAACTTGTAATTTGTAAAAAAATCCAATATGTAGTATAAGATTTATTTGAAACAATATCCGTAAAGAATTATTATTTATCAATCATTTATATATATCAAACGTATTGTTAATCATTATATACAACTTGAAACATAAGCAATTTGTGTACAACACAGAATCGTAACAATTTTCTAACCCAACATGGCAAAACATATGTATATCTCATAGGCGGCTAACCAACAAAAAAAAAGTATTTTAATATAGATTATATATAAGACATAAAAATTTTAATAACATTATAATAGATATATATTTAGTTTTGTAATAGATTATATTAAGCCAAACAACAAATGTATAAAAAAATACGAGAAAAAAAAACAATGCAGAAAACTAGTTGCGTTCTTAAATACTTGGTATACATTTCTTTTATTAGTTGTAAAATCTCACTGAACAGGAATTTCTAATATTTGTGGTAAAGAAAACTGTTTTTGAAATTGTTTTAGAAATCCCCTCCTCTCTTCTCTAATCCCCAAATGTTGTTTGTTGTATAAAAAAAATAGGAAGAAATATTTATAAAGTATGTCGTTGCTGTAAATAAAAGTGTGAATTCATTTTTTTATTTACAAAAAAAAAAAAAAAAAAAAAAATATGTGTGTGATTCTAATACATTTTGAAAAACAAACAAGTATTTTTAGATGTTTTTCTATTAGAATTAAAAAAATCTTGTTAACCAAATAGCCTTTGCTTTAGTTAATAAAATCATATAAATTTTTGATTTTATTTATTTTTTGTTTTTGGTTTTAATTTTTTTTTGTGTGAAGTTTTTCTTAAAAATTCATTTTTTAGTAAATATTAAAAATTTGTAAGAAAAAATTTATATTTGCAGAACTTTGAATTAACAACACCCCTACAGACATACATACGTCGTCATATCCATAATTTAAAAGTTGTGTGATATATGTAGTCATTATTCCATACTTAATTATGGAATATAAACGTTTTTTAGTATAGAAATCTTTGGGCTATACACTATCAAAATTCCTATACGTTGTTGTGTAATACACAACAATTTGAATCACAACTGTAGGCCTATTCTGTAACTTTTAACAACATTCGATATTGTTTAATTTTCTTTTGTTATTGTAAAAACACCAAAAAAAACAAATGCATTTTTTGTAAAATAAACAATGTCGAATATTGTTAAAAATTTACAGAATAGGCCTACAGGTGTAATTTTGTTGTTCTTCGTTATATTTATTAAATCAAAATTATAGACAAAACAAAAATATTGTTTCATATCTGAGTAAAAAAAAAATGTAAATAATTCTCCTAATTTTCTAACTAATTTTTAATGAATATATTTATTATTGCTTACACAAACAGTTGCTAATCTGAAGCAAAAACAAAAAGAAAAAATCTATATATAGCCAACTTAACAATTTTGTTGTAGTATTTTTGAAGAATTGAATTAGCAAAAATACCAAAACCAAAAATTCATATACAAAATTAATTATTAGATAAATTACATTTGTATTTGTAAAACTCTCTATTTTTTTTCTATCTCTCTCAGTTGTATTAATCAGTTCAAACATATACATATAAAGCTTGTTAGTTTTGGAAAGAAAAAAAACTCAACAAATACAATTTACACTGGCCAAATAAAAATTATATATGAGTACTTATTAACTCTTTTGCCAATTAGCTATCAACATCATACTACTACAGCATTATCATTTTCACATGTAATTCTGAGGATATTGGATTTAAATTCATGTTTAATAATGTCAAAGCTATATCCTGATTTCAACAGGCAGACACTTTTAAATTGAATTAGAATTTTATTTAAAAAAAGCTTGCAACTTTTAGGATTCTAATGCCAAATTAATGTATTGTATTTAAAAAATTAGGCAGATATACCTTTTCTGGCGCCCAAATGTTTGCAATTTCTCCATAGAGAATACCATCTCATATTAACAATTTGTAATTGAAATTTGGACAAAAAAGGAAATCCTTCATTGAATTACATATGAAAATGATCAAAAAATACACCAACCATTCTACAATCAATACTTTATTGTGATGTACATGTAATAATAACATAGGATTTTCTAATGTAAAACAACAAAAAATCTTAATTGTCATTGGTTTATTTCTCTCTCTGTTTGATTTTTTTTTATTGATTTAATTTGTTTATTATAAAAAAAAAACAAAAAAATGTTACTTTATATATATATTCAAAAGAGAAAACAGAAAACAACAACATATTTAGTAAACAAAAACAAGTTTAGAGTTGATTAAAAAGAAATATACTTTGTCAAAATATCAGTTTTGTGTAGTAATGTAATGTAAAATACCTAATTCTAAAAAAAAAACATTTTTTTTTAAATTTCAATACAATAATTCCATTTTCTTTCTCTCAAAATGTCTCTCCCAACAACAGCGTAGTCGCGGTTTTGGCTTCATAACATTCCAAGAACCTTGCAGTGTTGACAAGGTTCTCAAAGTGCCCATACACACATTGGATGGCAAGAAAATCGATCCCAAACATGCCACACCCAAAAATCGCCCACGACAATCGAATAAAACCAAGAAAATCTTTGTTGGTGGTGTCTCTCAGGACACCTCGGCCGATGAGGTTAAAGCCTATTTCAATCAATTCGGCACAGTTGAGGAGACAGTCATGCTAATGGATCAACAGACAAAACGTCATCGTGGTTTCGGTTTTGTCACCTTCGAAAATGAAGATGTTGTCGATCGTGTGTGTGAAATACATTTCCATACCATTAAAAATAAGAAAGTGGAATGTAAAAAGGCACAACCCAAAGAGGCGGTAACACCCGCAGCTCAGCTATTACAGAAACGTATTATGTTGGGTACATTGGGTGTACCAATACCGACTGGTCCAGGACAGTTGTTGAGTGCCCGGACAGCAGCCGGCGTTCAGGCTATGAATCAATTTGCCATTTTACCCAGCCCAGCCCAGTTACAATTGCATGCTGCTTCAGGTGCAGCCGCATCGGCCGCAGCTGCCCAACAGGCAGCACTCATTTCACAAAATCCTTTCCAAGTACAAAATGCCGCAGCCGCTGTGGCAGCTAATCAGAGCAGTTTTGGTAAATTGTTATCGACATATCCTCAAGCATTACATAGTGTGCGGTAAGTCTAAATGATTGTCAAAAATATAATTTATTTTGTGATAATTAGGAAATAAGCCTTGAAGTATGCAATATTTTTTTAAATATTAAAAATAGTTTTTGTTGTAGAAAAAATATAATAAATATTTTATAAAAAATATTGCATACAAATATTATATTATTATAAACATTTTTTTTTATTTATTTGAAAATATTTTATAAAAAAAAGATATTATATAACAAAAATATTTCATAAAAAAATGAAATATTTTTTATACAAATTAAAACTTTATTTTATTTTTATTAGCCGATTTATTAATTATTTCCTTTTTTCTTTTCTATTACAGTTATTCACCCTATCCCATACCCGCCACAGCAGCCGCCGCTACTGCCCTGGCTCAGGCTCAACAACAACACCATCATCATCAACAACAACAGGCAGTGGCCGTTCATCAACATCAACAACAACAGAATGCAGCCGCCGCTGCTGCCCAACAACATACAGCGGCCAGTAATTCGGCGGCCGTAGCAGCTGCCACACAAGCTCACAATGCGGCATTGCATGCCGCTGCCGCCGGAACACAACCTGCCAGTGCTGGTCATGGTACTACAACTGTAACAAATCCCTTAGCCGCTGCAGCGGCTCAACAAGCCGCCTTGGTAGCCTCAACAAATCCCTTGAATGCCGCCACCAATCCATATCAAAGCTATGCCTTAACAAATGTTGATATGTCAAGTTTTCAGGGTGTGGACTGGAGTTCAGTGTATGGCATGGGAATGTATGTTTAAAAGAAGTGCGAGTGAAAGGCAGCAGTCGGCGGTCGTGTACCACAACACATCCCAGATCTTCAATTCACCTAACTCTGCTATATACGTTTTTTTTCTTCCTGCAAATACTCTTGGAAAGCCTGGCTTCCTTCTACTCCTTTAAATTTTCTTTTGCTTCCTTTTAAGGGGAGGGAAAACTGGGCTTTTAAAAGAAACTTGTTATGTGTTTATTCTATTATATCTTTAAAATTAAAAACTCTTTTTCTTTCTTTGCTAAAAAATATTTAATTTATATTGAAAAAAAAGAAGCAAAATCAAAGAAAACAAAACAAATAATTTGTAAAATATCATCGCCACTCGTCGTTTCAAATTTCTTCTTATTTAGATTTAGTTTGTTTAGTTGTTAAGGTAATGCCTAAGCATTTTAGTTATTTAAAAACAAGAAATCTTTATTGAAAATGAAAAACAACCACTACTATTAGCTACATACATACATAAACAAAGAAAATGAAAGGCAAAACAACTCGAATTGTTTTATGTATATTAAACAAAAAAAGAAAACAAAAACAAAAAACAGAATTGAATACATTGAACTACGAAAAAAGCAAAACAAACGAAAAAAGACAATGATTATTAAATTAAAAACAATTAAATATATAATTTAGTTATTTAAAAGCAAAACACAGCATGTTATATTGGTAAAATGAAAGTTCCCTAATTTGAAAACATGCTAAAAGAAAAAAAACAAACTCCCACTATTTTTAAATTTAAGGAACCCCCCTACAAAGCATTAAAAAGAAACAAACCCCTGAATTCAATTATTTTTAAGTAATCTATTGAATTAAAAAAAAAAAACAAATAAAACAAACAAAAACAATGAAAAACAAAAATCGTGAATATAAATCATTATTTTAAACAAACAAAAACATCGTTGAGAAACATCATCATCGTGAAACAGAAATCCATTAAAACAAAAAAGAAAAAAAAAAACAAATCTTCTAAACCACCGATTCTGATTGCGTTTAATTTTTAAAATAATTACAAAAAATACATTAACACAGTAAACATTATCTTGGTCACAATGACCACCAGAATGTTGATTTTCTCTCATAAAATATTTCTTCTGTTCTTGTTCTATATATAGATTTTTCAAAATATATATTTTTTCATTTAAAATTCTAACTCTCTTCAGTCTGTTCAAATTTTTCAAAATACTAAACAAGTTGGATTTTCTTATAATTATAATTTATAATAATAATTGCCCATGTTAAAATAACATACCAAAGAAATAAATATTATTTCCTTTAAATGAAAATTGTTTTTTTCAAAAAATCTTTAAACTCAATTTGTTTTTCTTCGTAAAAGAGAATATCAGAACGAATCATGGTGGATGGATGGATCAATTTCCAAATTTAAAATTGAATTCTTCAGCGAGAAATAAAAATCAGAATTTGTAAGGTCATAATAAAGTAGATATTCCTAGATTCCAGAAAGTTTTGTTCAAATAGAAATTTCAGGTGATCATTTGAATGGACAAAAGCTGCTATGTTTTCAATAGAAAATGCATGTGGGTTTCTATAACAAATAAGAGACTTTTTGTGAAGATTTTTAATTGAATTTTTTATAAGAAAACCTGATTGCCATCTTAAAAGTATACCAATTGGTATCTCTGTATAATAATGATTTAATGGTTTCCTGGTCTGTTATTATAACAGCGATATCTTGGGGACCTCTTTCATTAGTAAATTAAGAAAACTACCGGTTGATGTTCTAGAAAACCATATTTTTGGTTCTTAATTTGTAAACATCCCTTATTTGATGACTTGTCTTCCGAATGTCTTTAAATTGCCAGAAAAATACAATGAAATTCAGGGAGGAGACAACTGAGCCTTGTCTCGTGTAATGTGCTCTCTGGGCTCTTGATAAACTTTCGAAGAATGTTATATGGAGATTCGCAGTTCGATTTAAAAATACCCATAGAAGAATATTTTACAATGGAATATCTTCAGCCTTATTCTGGATGTCAATTCCACGTGAATTTACTCGCTCTTCCCCTTCGTCTTATTCTGAACAACATTTTTGTGTGAATTTTTTCGCATTCTCGCTTTTGCCTTATTCTGAATGAAGTTCGAAAGCGAAAAAATCCGCTTTGGGGAAAAATTAGGTATTCTGGATTACAGGGAGTAGGAGAATGAGATGAAATTTTGTGCGAAATTTTTCGCTAATAAATTCAAAGTGAGTTGACTACAAAAACATAAGTAATAAATATTTTATGAAAAATATTAACACAATACTTATTCTATGACGATTTAGAATATTATAAATGATAGTAAGCAAATATTTATCTGGAAAACAGCAAATAAAATGCCTTTGGAAATCCTATTGATAATGATGCATGCTGAACCAAATATTGCCAAGGAATGTCTAAAGGTAATAATGAATATTTAAGTCGAGTTTGATGCATTTTGGAGGCGAAAAACAGACATTTTGGGTGAGGATCTGTCTCTCAAGAAAAAAATTATAGAAAAACCAAATTTGCCTAATGAGCCGCTTAACAGTGGAAAACTTAGATAAAGATTATGAAACAACACAAAAAAAAAACTACAAAAAATATTTTTTTTTCAAAATTATCGTTGGTGTGGTTTTATATTTGTCGGGATCGGGATCGGTGTTGAGAGTTTCTCTCTGTCTCAGTGGTAAATTGTGAATTGTGTTGGAAAACATTACCAAAGGTAGGAACAAAAATGTACGAAAAGGTACCTAAAATTCTACTTCAAATGATAATTATCGAGAAATATTGGCCAATATTTATACCAGTTATTTGCATAAATAATATATGTATAAGTAAGTATTTTTATTGAGACTTTCTTTTATATGTTATAATTTAAGCGTAAATGTATTCACGTTTACGTCAATTCGTACATTTTGTGAACAAAAAGTACGCTTGTTACAAAATTAAAAATAGCGCAACTCTAATTACTCTCTCAAGAGAGAGAAACTCTCAACACCGATCCCGATCCCGACAAATATAAAACCACACTTAGCATTATTTGAAGGAAGAAATAAAGGAGTAGGAGCATAACAGGCCACTTTAAGAATTTGGAGAGATAAAATATCGAAATTAAAAAAAAGGCACACAATTATGTGCCTGTGTTTTTTCCATCATAAAAAAATGTTCTTTTATTTGTAATCTATTGTATGTAGTTGTTGTACCAAAATGCATCAAAACAATGAACAGCTGTTTCACATGTCATATTGTAGGTTGCCATATTTTCAAACTTCAATTAATTTTCTTTTAATTGCAAAGCATTTATACAGCTAATTCTTGATATTTCACATTTGTGTTGTTATAAAGTTTAAACAACAATAACAAGTAACAATTTTTAATAGAATAATCAATAAATAAAGTTTTGAAAAATATTACACAATTAAATTACAATGGGGCAACATACATTGCAACTTAAATTACAATATGGCAACATACATTACAACTTAAATTATAATATGGCAACACGAATCTTTTTTTCAACCACCATTTTCGAAAACTCGAATCCGCATCTCGCATTTTTTGCGTCTCCCTATTCATTCAGAATAAGGCGAGAATGTGAAAGCGAAAATTTTTGTACATGCGAGATATCTCCCATCGAATATCCAGAATAAGGCTGCTTGTAAAGGAATTCTATAGAAGACCTTGAATATTTGAAGGGCCCTAGGACTCTAGAAGAATATTAATTAGAGAAGGTAAACGTAAACCATCCTCTCGTTTTCAAACTGTCAGGTCGAAGATGTGTTCTGTTAAGGTTTATTCTCCATTTGGGGGACAGACATCAGTTGGTATATAACTTGTGCTACCTAAGGAGAAGTTGACCTTCACATATTTACCAACATCTGATAGTAATTGGAATCAATCATATTTTAATTGTAACCACTCTGATTCTAATTGGAATCACTTTGCTTTCAATTTGGAATCACAAAAATGTTAAGGGATTACATGGTCTACTAATATTTGGATCTATATTAGGTAGGTAGCTGGATTTTAAATCCACTTCCATTGCTGGGCACGGTATCGTAAGTTAATCTGTTTTAGTGGCCTTCTTGACATTAAAAATAATATTAGATAGACCAATTCCTGTAGAAAAAATTTCTCACAGAAATATTTAGTATTGGAATACCGTTCTGACCATTCTGGTATATAGAATTAGCAGGTTTTATGAAATTTCATTTACAGAGCTCATAAAAATAGAAGAGCCGTTAAAAAATATAGAAGAGGGATGATCCCATCACATTTGATAAGTATCCCTATTGTTGTTGTTGGCAACATTTAAGGCACTCTATATTCTCGTTTGGCTAGAGACCTTTTCGAAATAGATTGCTACTAATCATAGGATGTTTGGTATTGAAAATTGTGTATATCGGTCCACGTTTTAGTATAGTCCTGATATAACGTTACTTCCAAATATTCGATATTATGCGGTTTTTTGACATGTTTTTTCAACAGAATTGGCTGTAATTTGCTACGTTTGGTTCTCATTGCGCATCAAATCTTCCTACTGAAAAATATCAATATTTGTACACCTTTTATGGAAACCGGCATTACTTACTTCCAAATATTCGATATTATGCGGTTTTTTGACATGTTTTTTCAACAGAATTGGCTGTAATTTGCTACGTTTGGTTCTCATTGCGCATCAAATCTTCCTACTGAAAAATATCAATATTTGTACACCTTTTATGGAAACCGGCATTAACGATACACCCCACGTGTTTCAAACAATTTGGGAAAAAATTTAATATTTTGGATTCTTATTGAGTAGAAAATGTCCTTATCAAAAATTATCAACATTGACCCATGTTTCCGGATGGCCCCCATATAATGGTAATTCCCATTATTCGGCATTTTGGGTACGTTTTTTAACCGAATTGGCTCTGATTTACTTTTTCTGGTTGTTCTTACTATACATGATCAATATTGGTTCAGGAATTAGGATTAGGGAATGCCCTATAATACGCTACGTTTCAAA